GGCACCGCCACTCGCGCGGGCGGTGGCGGTGCCCTGGTTTACACGCCCCCGCGGCTGCAGCTGCTGCTGGTTGAGTGAATTCAGCTGGTGGTCTGGTGTGCGGCGGGATCCCCATTCCCGCAGGGTTATTAGGGCCTCCTGGATAGCTGAGGGAGAGAAATCAAATTTACAGACATCAGTGTTTGAGTCTGCATTTAGGACCGGGAGTAACACAATTTGTGGGGAGGAGGGATTGCAACATGATTTTTTTTTTTTTTAAACACATATCCCCTGCACTTGGCTTGGACATGACCACTACAGAGTTCTGGGAACGTCATCAATGTAACATCGTCACAAATGCATTCGTACATAATGATGTGTTCCCCAAAGAAACTGCTCTATGCTTTCCTTACTGGTTTTGCAGTCGTAACTGCCCACATCTCATTTTAATATGTCTTGCAAAGTACCTGACTCCTGAGAATTCCCATCTATTTGCTTCATATTTCTTTATGTTCTTGCTTAGTCCCAACCCATTTGACCTTTCAGGTTATTTCCCAATTTGGGGATGAAGAGAAGCCTTCCCCAAAAATATGCAAGGAATTCCTCCCTTGTTTTTTTTGGCTGGTCATCTAGTTCCTTAAAGATGGGAAGATTCCAGCAGATGTCACCAAGTGCTACGCTGCCAGAGTTACTCTTACAATGACAGGGGAAAAGGTCACCATTATTCCCTGGTGTCAATATGCTGGAATTAGGTCAGAGTGTGGAGGACTGACATCATAACTCTACTAAATCATCCAGGAGTTCAACAAGATTTTAGGAAGGAGGTTCTAATCTAGAAATCACTTTGGCTATTATTTCTGGCTGGTTAACATATATCTGACAAAAGAATAATCCCATCTTGGACAGCCCTGAATTATGCAAACAATAAATATAGCTTTATAAAGGGACTATATTGTCTTGTGAAGTTTGCTTCTAACTATTATTTAAACCCAATTTTCTCTAAGGCAAGAACAAGATGAATGCTATCAGGCTTTGGGTTTAGTCTTGGTAACATTCAACATTTGTTCTCCTGAGCAAAGCCATAACACTTATATCTATCAATATCCTTCATAAAGATGCTCAGCAAAATGTTAATCACTGTTAAGCCTGTGATTTGCATCGTGCTTTCAGTATTAATTAAAACTTTATCTTATATTTTTATAACTTACTTGATTGACTCGAGTCATGTACGAATCATTTTCCTGAAAGTATTTTGCTTTAAATCTGAACCCTTCCCTTCCCTTCCCTTCCCTTCCCTTCCCTTCCCTTCCCTTCCCTTCCCTTCC